GATCCGCAATATCATCGGAAACTGGAAGCAATGACGATGCTGATCAACCGTCGTCGATTGCTAACGAGCTAGGGCTAATGGAGTTGCTCAAAGACAACAAAGCCTTCGAGCTAATCTATCGCCATTGCCAATCTAATCTGCCTTCTCATTTTCAGATTGTATCGATTCTCAAGAACGGATTTCAAACTCCATTGAGCCAAGCTAAGCTTAAAGCCTTTCAGATATACACAGAGTCTGTGGCCAAGAAAAACGGTGGCTGCGTCCAAGGCGGCGGAAGCAAAGCTGCAGTTGAAGCGGCGAGAGTGAAATACGGTTGGTGCGGTGTGGATAAGGAAGAGTTAAAAGCCATTCTAATGTACGGATTTAGGAACATGAATGGATTCTTAGATCTCTCACTAGACAATGCTCCTCTTCAATGGTAGTACTTAACAAGAAACGCTTAAGACATTTTGTTTTTGCGTTTCTAATCTTTAAGGAGTCTCATTAATGTGTCTTTTGTATAGTCTGATAGATTCTTCATCATCTGGTGACAAAGATGGGATTAGATTCTTGCTGCTTTCAAGGATTATTATGGGAAAATCAGAGTTTGTTTTTCCTCAGGGATCAACCACACAATCATATCCGAGTTGTCCAGAGTTCGATTCTGGTGTAGACAGTTTAACGTCTCCGAAGAAGTATATTATTTGGAGTACACACATGAACACTCATGTTTTGCCTGAGTTTGTTGTATGCATCAAAGCTCCATCTATCTTGAATAGAAGTAAGCAAAAAGAAAAAAAACAAATGTTTGTTCCTTTCTTTGATTCACAATTTGTTCAGTTGAGTAATTTGGTATGTTCTTTGATGTAGAGAACCCAAAATCGCCTTGGATTTCGTTTCCGGTATTGATCAAATCGATATCGAGGTTTATAAATCCGTCCCAAATCCATCTCATTCAAAAACACTATAAGGAACAGCAAGTAAGTCCATTTTCTTAGCTCTCTGTTTCATCCTCATCACAACATTCTAATGGTAGGTTGATTTCCAACTCGCAGGACAAGAGGATCTCGCGATCTGAGTTGATTCAACGAATGAGAATTATAACCGGAGATAGATTACTGGTTCACATCATCAAATCTTTCGGACAAAAGGTACATTGTATTGTAGACACATGAATTCTCATACCACATTTTGTATTTTTGTCTCATACACTACTTCCACAATGTTGATATTCTTTTTTACTATGTTTCAGGGACCAGAAGGATCAAGACCGATAAATCTACAGTCAATGCATATATAGAGAAGTCGTTTATTACACCAGAATTTTGCTGTATCACATACTAGTTCTATCAGTAAATATGATTTTGGACCAGGACATGTAGTCATATAGTTTTCTTTTTTTAACATGTTGTCAAATAGTTTGTGTTATTGTCTATATAAGGTAAATTTCGAAAATTTCCTAAACACAAACCTTTTTAGCCTTGTGGAAATGGACAATAGTCACAGGTGATCTTTAAATCATACTATGAAATATTTGTTTTTAATCACAAACTTCCGTCTTATTTACATCATAATTAAGTTAAAAAAAAAAACCAATTTATTTATATAAACACGCCTGTGGTTGTTTTTCTTATAAAAATACAACAAAGATGCAGAAAACCTGTAGAGTGTGTGAGTTAGATTTTCAATTTCACAATGAAGAGCGTTGGGAAGCAGTGGAACCGCTTCTGGTAAAGCTAACAAACTCAGGATCAATCACAATTCCCTGAACTTGTCTCCTTCCTCTCCGTCCCAACAAGTTTACTCTGCCGTGTCCTGGTGCCACCGGATCTGCCGCGGGAACATTTTCAGGAACTGGCATCTCTGTGGAGTGTCCTGAGATGCACAATGATCCTGACT